GGGGGGGGGGGGCCATTTTCGAAAATTAAAAAAAATGTTATTTTGTATCCTTAAATCTATATTCATTCTTCATAAGTTTAAATATTTAATTCATTATTCATACATTAAATTTAATTTTTCGTGCTGATTTTGACATTTCTTTCATCACTTCCTCTACATTAACTGGTTCTTCTCTATAAATACTGAATAAAACAATTATCAGATTTTCGTAGGGGGGGGGGGGGCCCGGGCCCCCTATGCCCCCCCCTGGCTACGCCCCTGATCAAATGCATCAGGCATTTGATGAATAGTTTTGGATTTTACACTCTCATGTTTATTGGTTTAGGGATTTTTATTGGATTTTTCAGGATTAATCCTGAGTTTCTACGCCTTGATTTTTGCTAAGTTATCCTAGATCGTCTCGTGGAACTCCCTAATCATTATTACATTATCATGTCGATAGCTACCTCTGCTTTTTACATACAATGATGGTATAAAAGGATTTGTACATTTCCATGGAAATTTTTCCATCCCATAATACTGTATAGTAACAGATATGACATTCATCTGTCATTAAAACAGGTGTAAATTGCAGACAGGTGATGTAAAAGTGTACATAAATTCTTACATAAATTGTTTCATAAGATCTTTTAATTGGAATTTCTATGGAATAGTCTTAACAAGAGAAAGTTGTGGCGAAATTACATCTAGAAGTTACGAAACCAAAGATTGTGAGTTTTATTTTGGTCTCAAAATCTAGTTTTGGTGGAAATTAAAATTTGATCTAGAAATAATAGCTACCCACAAAACTTTTCCACCTAGCCTCGAGCCTTACATTTATTAAAGTTTGCATGTTTCGAACCCACTCATCCTCGATTATGCTTTATTTTTGGGAATTTTTCATTTAAAATACTGGACTCTTCAAATCCGATTTTGTAGATGAAAAGAGATCATGTGGATGGCCAAAGAAGTCATGGAAAGACGGTAGCCAGCGAAAGCGCTAGTCTTAGGGGACGACTAAGGAAAGTCATGGATCACAACTGATCTGTACGACCAGCGAAGTAAGAAAGTAAGCACTGGACTCTTAGGCAATTGAACAATAAAAGGATTAAGAGTATAGTCAAGGTATGGAAGGGGTCAGTTCGAAATTCAGAGTAGAAAATCAAAGTAGCCAAACACTGAACTAGATAGTAATTCAACAACCTTAACCTTTTAGTTCCATCTCATCATATCATCACTTATTATTACTTATTATTGCTATGAGATTACGTTGATAGCTTATGATAGAAATAAAAATTGTCATGACTACTAACACCCATACATAAAGTATATCTGGAACTTCAGTTGATCTAATTAAAGTTCAAATGAGATTTGTATTCAATTTTTTCTTGTAATTTAAAAAGTCACTCAATCATTTGGTCTCCGTTGTGCCAAAAATGACACTTTTATGGATGGTAAAATTACTCAGGATGTTAGCACGATTCTTGATCATCTTCAGAGGCTTCTTAATTATTTATGAGAATATTTAAGACCAGGTTCGAGGTTAATATGAAATCTACGCTATGGTATTGTAAGGTTGCTTCATATTTCATGCACAGGCGCCTGGCCAGGAGGGTCTTGTCCCCCTCTTAAGCGTTTTATGCCGTGCTTTCGCTGCGGTTCAAAACTTTTAAGAGGGGCATGACCCTCCTAGCTACGCACTTAATTTTGCATAAGTCAATATTCCTTTTATTTCAAAACGCGCTAATAAAACTAAAAGCTTAAAAAAATGCATAAAAATATTTTAATGAATGAATTGGACAAGAACAAACAAGGGAGGTAAGAAGTATGATATGAAAATGATGAGGAGAAAGAGAGAGAAAAGAAATGAAAATAAACTGAAAAAACATTCATCGAAAAGTATTTTTGTTATGCTTCAGACACGACAGGATTATGCATATATTTAATATACCTCTTAATTTTGAAGGTCTCTTTTTGATTATAATCTTCCCTTCTTATTTTTTATTGGATTTTTTTTGTTTCTCTCTCAAATCTTTTTTTTCTTGTTTCTTTGCTATTTAAAAATTTTTTTAAACTTTTTTTCTGGCTTTTGAAACTGTTTTTGAAAAAAAAAATTTTGGTTGTTGTTGTTGCAAATTTAAATAATTTTTTTGTCAATTATGATGATATATTTTTTAAATATTTAGATTTAAATATTGATTCAAAATGGATGTTGATTTTGAACTTCCACGCGCTGCTAACTTCCGCGTGGGACCACAACTTCTCTCATATTAAGTGATCTTTTAAAACTTTAATATATTGTTTAAATATTATATAAGGTGTGTGATGTGTTTAGTAATATTTTACAAAAATAGTTTGTTGTTTCTTAATCGGATACAATAAACTTACTTCCATTTTTTTTCTCATCAATAATACATAAGAATTTGATTCAATTTTTTTTATCATTCATAAATGTATCTTATAATCTGTATAATGACATAAAGATATAATTATTATTTATTTTCTGGAAAACTCTTTAAACTTCCACGCGGAAAGAGCGTTGAATAATTAAAGTATGAAAAAGTAAATTAGCTGCACTGCCGAGGGCTGTGCATGCCCACACACGTTGTAGGGTGTGTTTCTGATTCATCAGTTGCATTGAGGTTATTCATAATTATTTTTTATTAAGTATTGTCTTAAATATTTTTTTAACTTCCACGCCACTACGCAGATTTTTTTTCATAAATTTTTTTTGAGTGCAAATTTTTTTATGTGCATGAAAAATAATACATAAATGATTGTGCAATGAGAAATTAGTAAGTATTTCTGAATACATATATGTGTATAGTGCCAATTAGTCAATGATAAATTTTTTTTATTGGTTTATTTATAAATTTACTCCTTCTCTTGATTTTGATTTTTTTGGGGGGTGGAGATTAGGTTGGATGATGGGTCATTTTTGGATGTTTATTAAGATTAATTTCATTTCCATTTTGAATGGATAAATTGGAGTTAAACTAATGGCAATTGTTTTTGAAAGGTTGATTTAATTAAAGACCCCTCTTAAGGGGGTTCAACTAGGTTCAAGTAAAATTATGACATTGAGAAAAATGTCAAATTATATATCCTTAGTCTTGAATGAATCAAATCAGGGTTTGGACTAAACTTTCTTGGCTAGACTGTAAATTACAGCTTGAAGTCGACTCAACTTCATAAAAAATTCATGTCGACTTCAAATTTCGATCTTAAATATACTCCTAGGCTATTCCTTTAAAATACATTCTTAGAGTCAACCTTTAGACTTTACCTAATGATATACTAAGAAGGTATAACTCAAAAAAAAAGATAGAAAACCTTAGAGTATCTACCAGGGTACCCCATGCAACCGATTGATGAGTACGAAAACTAATCCTAAGGTTGCGAACTGAACCTAGTCAAATGAAACTAAAAAACAGATTTAAAAGCTATAAAAACAAAATCTCTTCAAAATTTAAGCTTTTTTCCAATACCCAACACTATCCACTCCCCTCCAAAAAATCAATTCTTCACGACTTCCTATAGTTCCGTTTAAAATCAATGTTTACTCACATTCATCATTAATATTATTAACATAATTATTTTATTATTTCTTATTCTTATGATTATAATTTTTTTTTTCATAATTCTGTTCAAAATATTCCCCAAAAATTGAAATTTTTTAAAATATTATTTTTTTATGTATTTAAGTGACTTTATGACTTCTTTTTATTTTGGGATTCATATGTGGATTAGTAAAATAAATGCCTCATTAGTAATATTAATATTTTTTTGTATTTAATTTTTTTAAATGCTTAAAACTTTTTCATTTTCTTTAATTATTTTTTTTTAAAGGTGAAAATTAAATTTTTTTAGGAGAGAAAAAAGGTCCACGTCACATGAATTTTTACTTGGAAGGGACGAAAAAATTTTTTTTATTATATCCAATTGAAAATTTCTAAAGTCATCAAAAGTTGAGCATTCCAATCAAAAAAAAATATCAGGTGACTTGGAATTGATTTAAAAGTTTTTCAATTGAAACAATTTGGCTCAGTTCTTTGTTTTCTGACTTTTGATGTTTTGGAAATTATCGAGTTCATCCCGACCATCATGTGCTATGGACACAACTTATATAAAAATTAAAAATATTAAAATCGAAGTCTTCGAACTTTTTTTCTAAGGATCCAAAAGGAATAAAAAGTCTGGGAATTTTGAATCATCGTCGTAAACTGTTCGAGGAAAAAATCCAATTGGCATGGCATAATAAAGACAACGGATGTTAATTTTTTTTTGATGTTAATTTTTTTTCGTTTGGATTTTTTCCGAAGAATTTTGCGACACTTCCAAAGAAATTTTCGTTCCTTTCGGCGCTGACCAAAAAATTTCAAAAAACTTGCGACTTTTGTAAAAAAAAAAAATTATAAAAATAAAAGTTTGATCAAATTTTCTTCACGGTCCGGATGTTCTTGACGGACACTCATTTTCATATAGTTCCGAATGTGGCTGTGAAGACTATACACATCACAATTAGTAAGCACATATATAACTGATTACATGCACATATATTTTGTTGATTGACATTAAATTAAGAATTATATCCTAATATGATTTTTCAGCGCATAATTTTACAGTTAGCAATACACACACCATCCTTATACAGTGTCTGTTTGATATAATTTACGAAAAATAAACATCATTCTCTTCTTGATCTACGTTTAAATAATTTAATTATTTTTTCTTTTCAATAAAAAGTTTTTTTTTTCCTCCAATGAAAATTGGGAAATACAGTAAAAATATTCATTTTTTTGTGATTGTTTCAGTTAATTTTTCAGCTTAAAATTTTTTAATGATTATTTAAAAAAGATTTTTTTTTACCCCCATTGTCAATTTGTTTGTTTTGTGCCATTTCTTTTGGATAATTGACACAGTTGAAACGGTAGCCAATAGTCGTTACCAGTAGTTCCAGTTCTGTTTAATTGAATTTTATTTTTTTTTTTTCATTTTCTGTCGCATCCTTTTTCAGCTGTTTAATTCACATGATATCCTTTCTTTGCGGCAATTGGTAATTTTGGTCCTTGCAAGTATGGATTAGTGGCTGGCTTTGATGACTGGAAATGATAATGGGAAGAAAAATGAGAATGATTTAATTAGAATTTATTTTTTGGCTATTTTTAAATAAATATTGAAAGCAATTTGGGTTCTTTTGGGTAATTTTTGATTTCAGAAGCTTAAAAGAGGCACAAGTTGTTAGGAACAATGGTCTTTTAGATCCATTTTGGCTTAAATGGCATACTAAAGCAGCTTTAATTTGCATGAACAATACTTTGCGACACACCAGGTCAGTGCTACTCAAACTATGATTTTTGACACTCTAATGCAGTTCTTTTAAAACTGTTGTTCACGACACTACTGCATTGCTTCTTAAACTATGTTTTACGATAAACTAGATTCCATTAGAATATTGTGAAATTAAAGGCTCAAAGTTGAAGAGAGTGCGACCACAAAGCATCAATTTCGTAACTTCCTTTATCATTACTCTTCTATAGCTTTACTTGATGCTCGATCTTATCAAATCCTCAATCAATTCACATTAAATTTCAAATCCTCAATATGCTGATTTGAAAAGTTCTTCGCATGCACTTATAAGCATGTTATACCATTATGTCTAAATATACCAAAAATATTCTATAAAAATTTATTTCAAGCATAGCTTTCAGCCACATATTCAGCTCTGGTATGTGGGCTGCATATGTTTCTAGGGGCAACGATATTTTGCATAAGACATTAAAAATTATGAAATCTTTAACAAGATTGAAATTTAACTCGAGGGAACTTTCTTTTGTCCCGTTTTGGATTTGCAAGTGTGAACAGTTAACGATCTGTAGGCGATGATACTTAAGAGAGATATTGGATACAAAATTGTAAATGGAAAGAAGATAAAAGACATTTGAAGAACTTCGAGAGAATTTAAAGGTTAATGTGCAATTTTATTTACTTTTCAGAGTCGTTTTAAAAAGTTCTTTGTAAATGTTTATTCAAGCTTAATAGATTGGCTCTCTGAACTTTAAGGGTGTTCTTTAGATTTTTAATTTGAGGTCTTTTTAATAAATTTCGAAGTTAAAATTTCACTTTCGAAAATCAAAATTTCACTTTCGAAATTCAAATTTTTACTTTCGAAAATCAAAATTTCACTTTCGAAATTCAAATTTTTACTTTCGAAAATCAAAATTTTACTTTCGAAATTCGAATGTTCATTTTCGAAATTAATATTTAACATTTAAAATCCAAATTTAATTTTCAAAAAGTTCATCAACTCACCTTCTTAACCCAAAACTTCTTAGCGACCATATTCTTGTGTTCCTGAGGAAATTGCCGGAAGTATGAGCCTAAATTCCTTTGCTGTGTATTAACTTGTTCCTGATTTACTGCTGGGCATTCAAACATATGTTCGGTGTCACACATACACTCCTGTGCTCCTTGATATTCACGTGAGAAACTTGCGGTATTTTCGAAATCATTTGTACATCCTTGTTCTTCGGTATATCCAACTGGGCATGGATTTGGTGGATTACAGTAAGCTGGCAATGTTGCATCGGTTTTGACTTGTGGCTTTACGATATTAGGGCCTGATAACATAACAAGAGTAAGTTTAAGCTTTTAAAATAACAAAATTTTGACATTCACCTTCACCAGCACCGCCAGACATGAATTGATATCCCCACAATGAGGAATGTTGAGTATGTTCTTCATCTCTCAACGATGGATGTGGATTTGTACGCTCCAAGATTGAATCGTAATCCATCATTCGTTCCGTTTGATCCTTTTGTGCGCGTGCCAAGAAGCCAAGGGATGGTGGAAGTTTTCCAAATAAATTATCGTCATATTCCTCTGATGCTTCCTCAGCGAACGAGTCTATTAAGTCACGTAGGATATCATCTGGTATGTATGTATCCTTCATATCAGGATAATAAGCGTAACCAGCACTCAATACAGTTGCTATAAGGAAAGCTATTTTTAAAAGACACGCCATGATTTATTCTTTAGATTCTTCACGTCTTTTATTATCCTAAAATAAAGAAAGAATGAGATAGAGATGCAGACAGTGGTGATTTATTAATGCCATTATTTTTATTAAGAGATATTTGATGCTATTGATTATGATGATAAATAAGACAAAATTTCTCATTCTGTAGCCTTTGAGAATATTCTTTTTCGTAAATAAGAACAACAAAAGAGAGGAAAGAAGTGGAATCAGTTCACCAGTCATGATCCTTAGACTAGCTTTTTGAATAAATCATTGACTTTAAACTAGCTTCTGAGCAGGGCATCGCTTTATACCAACTTTTTAAAATAATTCGTCACTTTAGACTAGTTTTTTAGCAAGTCGTCGCTTTAGACTTGATTTTTATGAATAAGTCATCGACTTTAAACAGGCTTTTGAATAAGGTGTCGCTTTAGGCTCGCTTTATCTGAATAAGTCGTCGCTTTAGACTAGCTTTTGAGCAAATCGTCGCTTTTGTCTAGCTTTATTAAATAAGTCGTTGCTTTAGACGAGCTTTATTGAATAAGTCATCAATTTAGACTAGCTTTATTAAATGAGCCGTCGCTTTAAACTGAATACGTTTTCGACTTAGATTAGTTTTAACAAATAAGTCTCCGGTTAAAACTAGCTTTATCTGAATAAGTCGTCGCTTTAATCAAGATTTAAAAATTGAAGCTAAAGACATAATTTTTTTAATATCAAAGTCGCAGACTTATTAACCCAACTACCAACATTATTAAAAATACATTTCCTTTTCCTAATAAACTGTTGAGTAGAGATGCAGTCCTACATCCGTCACTCACTCAAGCAAGGCCAGTTGCCAAGCACACAACCAAGCATTAAATTATCTGTTCTAGATTCACATTTATTTTACAACAATGCGCAAAAAAAACAGCGTGTCATGAATTTGTGTGTGGGTTGTGGAAACTTTTTCTTCGCATAAATGTTCTATTTTGTGTTATTTTTAAGAATGAATATTTTTATTTTTTTAAGATTGGATGCTTATTTTGTTCAATGGTTTTCGGCGACAAAAGAATTCTCATTCATAAAAATTCAGCGAATGTGTTAAGGCTTCTTCATACTTTTATTTAAAGGAGGACAAATTTTAAAGCTATATTCGACAATTTTTTGAAAATCCATTAGTGAATGTTTCTTGAATATGAAGATAAATTGAGAGGAAGGAGATTGAAAATGAGGAAGGAAGGAGAATAAATCTAAGAAAAAGATAAGACGAGATTACAAATCTGAGGGTTGATATACAGATTCAATTTCGAAACTGTCAAACATCATACCCACAGTTCCGTTAACATTAGCAATTAATGTGTGGATATATCGTCTAAAAATCTCATAACTTTTGGATTTAAGCAATTTTCAAAGTTAAATCTTCCAAAAAACCTTAAATTTTAAAGCCTCAATATTCCAAATCCACCGTCAAATCATCCTTATTAATTCATGATTTCATAAAAAAAAGTTCCGCTCGCTTAAACATCAACAAGAAGCAACTTTTGCGACTCACAAGAAAGCAATTTATAAACTTATTTATATTTCATTACTTTTCAATTCTTCAGAAAATGTCATCAACAATAGAAAATATGAAAAACAAACACCAGAAAATTTGACATTTAACAGAAAACCTGAGCTGCTATAAGAGGATATAAACAACGCTTCATATTTCATTATAGCTAAATTGGTTGCTACTATACCGAGTCTTTCTCTTAAAGAACATAATTTAATTCACCTTTTACTGTGTCTTTTTTTAACTCACATAAAAGGGAAAATTTAATATGCTCATGTACATGAAAGCTTGACAGGCTTCATGCATTTGTGGATTATTTTTGAAATTTTATTTACATTTTATGGTCTGATGAAATCAAATTTAGCGTGAAATTTTGAAATGTTTATCTTTTTTGTCTTATTGTGTGAATTTCTGGGAATTGTTATTCAATTTGTTGTAGAAATAATGTTATTTATTTTTATATTTTGAAGGTTATATGGATGTAATGTTGGAGCAGTGTGGAATCTAGGGTATCGAGTTATATGTATGCGAATTTGCCAGTGCAAGAGTTAAGCATCAGTGACGCAAGTGATTAGGCTACATACCCTGATTCATCAGGACTTGTGTTCGATTCCTACTAGATACCGATCTCTCAATCATTATGAAGAGTTTTGTCGAAGGATTTCCTAATCGAGCCTAAACCTAACCTCCTTGGGTTAACCTAAGGCAAACCTTGTGTAGGGTTAAGTCTATATCAAAATTAGGGTTAGCTGTGTAAATAAGAACGTTAAGGTCAAAGACAATAAGGACAGATTGTATCAAGCAATCAAAATCCTCAACAATCTCAACAACCTTGAACACATTTCCTAAAATAGACATCCAATCTCATGCATTTAGTTCACACTCTACATAGCTCTAAGCTTTCGTTCCATTAAAATGTCCATATTTCAACATAAAAAAAGTATACAATGCTTTTTCATTTGGATTAAACAATAAATAAGTTGGATTAAGCATTACGAAAAATGGAAGTTCCTGTGGCAAGCTTGACATTATGTTGAATGAAAATTTATTAAAGCATGGAAATGATGTAAATTTCAATTATCCTCGATAACATCAGTTTCTTGTGTCTTGTGCGTCGTCTCTTAATGAGATAAATTCTTCATTTTGTGCTGTTTTGTATGTGAAACATAATTTACAGTTATGCTGTAGACGATGAGATGAATTGGAACGTGGATGGAGTCAGGGTGTGGTTGAAAGGATGTTAAAGTTGTGACACCAGACTAGAAGTTTATTAAACTCATTAATCCCACTTCCCCAACTCACAGTCTTGAATTGAAAGACACCCGTCCCATTTATCAAATCTGATTAAGCTAATATTATCAATTTATATCATCAAACTTTGTTATTCAATGCCCACAATTATGCTTTCTCGCTATCGGGATCGGGATCGGGATTTCCCGGGATTTACCGATCCCGATCAATCCCGGGATCCCGAAATTTATCGGGATCGGGATTGAAAATCCCGGTTTTTTAGTTTAGGAAATCATTGATGTTTTAGAACCTGCTAAATACGCGACAGAAGAATTATTGCGTAAATCAAACGATTTATTAATTGCTGAAGGAACAATTAACTTTTTGCTAGACGAATTGTTGCTACAAGGAACATTATTGTCTCAAAAGGTTTACGATATGAATTGCGCTCGCATAGGTGCACGAAGAAATGGAACATTAATTGACTTAATACTTTACCTCAATATATTTCTTTAGACAAGCATTTTAAATCGTCAACAAAAGCTGCAATACATAAACTTGGCATTGACTTATTGAAAAAGTATTTTGTCAAAAACTCTACAAATGGAGCTATGGAAGCTTCAACATCCAGTGCAAATCAAATCCAACCGTCAAACATTTCTATTCGAGATAGACTGAAACTAAGCATATCTGAATATACATCATTAACAACAGATGCAGCAGCAACAGAACCAAATAACTTGAAAAGAGAGTTTAATTGGTATGACAAAAATAAGAAGAGAACCGTTTTGTTAGATCAACTTTACGATGCATTGATAACAATGCAGCCGACCTCAACTCAAAGCGAACGAAATTTCTCTATTAGTAACAACATTCTTACAAAACAAAGAAAACGTTTACTTGACAAGAATCTAAATGCAATTGCATTTGTTAAAAGTTTTTTCATTAATGCTTAATTTTTATTATTATATTCACACCGTTTTCTATAACCTTTAAACTTACATGTTTATCAACATTTATTTTCTATTTTTGTTTATGTTCACATTTTTCAAAGGAAACATGGATTAAAACATCTACCTTGTAACACATAAATTATAACTAATTAATTAAGGAATAAATGACCGTATAAGTAGCAAAAAAATATACAATTTTTTTTGGAAAAAAAAGCAGAAAAATGCTGTTTTTTAAATTTTTTTACATATTCGGGATTCCCGGGATTTCCCGGGAAATCCCGAAAAATTTCAATCCCGATCCCGATCCCGAAAATTTGTCGGGACCGGGATTTCGAGAAAGCATACCCACAATAATATTTTCGAATAAACTATCAAAGTAAAATAATTAAAAAATCCCAAAAGCAAACATTTTCATTTAATAAGATTCATAATCTGATAATCACAATAATTCGTGTTTTTGAGCTGTGTTGAGGGATTATAAAAGGATATCTCAACCTTTTCCATTCAATCATAACTGCTCAATAGCTTTCTAGCTTGATTTAAATGAGGTTTATCTATCTATTGATCTATATAACAATAATGAAAATTATTGCTATATTTTAACACCCACGTGCTTTTTATTATTCTATGAAAAACAGCAACAATTCCATTTCCATTTTACGTCATTGACTGAATTTTTTTTTTTTGTTTCCGCTGAATGGGTTTGTTTGAGTTTCATTCTCAAACTTTTTCATTTCGTCTCAATTTTCATTTATTACTTGCTTGCCTCTAATGAGCTTTTTGGAGCTTGTGTCTATTTTTGAATGATTTTTTACGCTCGTATGCTTGGCAAAGCCGTGATATTTCGTCTATCTCATTTTAATATTCACAATTTTTTCTGGTGTTTACATTTGAATGAGTAAGGATGATGTTTTGGGATGTGGGAAAAGTAAGCATTTGAGATTTAATGCAGGGTAAACTAGTATTTTGATTAGGGGACACTAAACTTGGTGTTTTTTGGGTCGAGTCTGTCTTGAACGTGGGTTTTTGTCGCCTGGGACAAAATAAATTATTTGCACACATTTCACGAACTTTACTTGCTCACTTACTGTTCCTATGTGGAGCTTAGGTTACAACAAAAGGCTTTCCATCTGACTCTGTTGCTGGTCTTGTCGCCAAGTTTGTAAAAATTCTCTGGCCACACATTAAACTGACATTCCTTCATCACTGTTCTGCGCCAAGTAGCTTATAAAGCTCTAAAGCGTCTCTTCCTTCGCGAATTCCATCCTAGGGCTGCGTAACAAACTTGT